ATCGCCATAGTATATCCTGTTGAAGTCTTCTTGGCCATCGATAATTGACTTGATATAGGCAATTACTTTATTTCCTTTTTTGATAACCTCTTCAATATGATCATTATCATTGTTTTTTCTTGATATAATTGTACCGAGATATTTGTATTTATGTGTTTCACTTATAAGGTTATTACCTAATTTCCATTTTCTCAGCTTATTTACTCTTTGGCCAACAATTAATACCTGTGATTTTTCTAAATTAAACTTAAGTTTCCAGAGTTCTGAGAACTCTGCAGCTGCATCTAAGAGTAGTTCAAGGTCATGTTCATTTTCACCTATTAAAACAACGTCATCGGCCCAAAATAAATTACCAATTTGCGTGTTGAAAATATAAATTCCTAATTTTCTTTTTTTAATGATTTTGTTAAGTTCATTTATATATATAGAAAATAAGATAGGTGAAAGTGGACAACCTTGCTTAACTCCTTCCTTAGTTTCAAAAACATCAGATTTAATATAATTAAAAATAACATTACATTTGACATTGGTGTACATGTTCTGAATAATATTTAGAAGTTTGCCTTTTATGCCTACATTTTTAATAGCTTGTATAAGTCCTTGTCTCCATACAGAGTCAAAAGCCTTTTTAAAGTCTAAAAAGGCAAGGTGTGTCTTCTTGCCTTGTAGCAAGAATACTTTTTAATATAAATATATGGTCTTCACACCTTAAAGTATAATCTGAAATTTATTTATTTAGAGAAAACAACAGGAGGTAACCATATAATTTTTATAAGCTTTATTTATTTGACTGTCAAAATACACATAATTAAATAAAGAATATACAATTAAATTAAATCTAATAACTAGGTCAGTGACAGCTAAAGAAATTACTATTGTTGCCTCATGAGTGTAAGTTGTCCTAATATAAAAAATAGAAATGTATCTTTACAATATAAACCGTCCAATAAAAACACGTAATGAATGGCCTCTATATATAAAAAATAAATGTTATGTGAATAAAAAATTACTATGAGCAAGATGAATTTGCATTAATATACTGTAGTATGTGAAAAGACCTGAATTAAATATCTATGCTAGAGGCTTTAATGGTGGTTCATTAGCATGTATGTGTAGGAATTTATGTGTATGATGTGTGATGTGGACATAAGTCATGCTTAAAACAAGCTGGGTTGTCTGATACAATAATTACAGGGTTTGGTTGTGTGAAGTTGCTCTAAGTTGAATGATGCATTTGCTTGCAAAAAAATTCCAAACCTAAAACAGACATAAACATAAGAAATCAATCATCTAAAATGTCTGATTGTCAATCCTCAAGCTCAAACCCATTACCACACGCCATTCATTCGATCAATCAAAATGGAGATGGAAAAGAATTTCACAGACATCCTGTGTCTATCACCAGCTAAAAATTCATGTAAAGGTATGTGTACTTTAGCGTTGCCTGATTATCTGAGGGTTAATGACATCTAAGTAAAGCATCCCGCTTCCTTTCATTCATGCCCAGCCCATATGGTTCTAGACATTTGATTGGTCAAAATATGGTTCATCGTCAATCAGTTAATTGCTATTAACCGCTTATTTATTTTTGGCATAATTTAATGTTTCCTACATGTGAAGCTAACCGAGAATTGATTAATTTCTTCTGACTGTATAAAAGCAAATTTAAGGCATCAATAAAATACAAGGTAAAAAAAAAAGGAAAATCTAATTCATATCTCCACCCGCTTCTATCTGTCCTGATTCCTCATATTTTTGTTTTATTGTTTAATATTGTTTTTTCCCAGCATTGCGGCTGACACTATAATGCAGCATCTACAGGTCCTCAGGAACAATTGCTAATTAAGTCGAAATGGTGGCCATTTTGAATTTATGCAAATTTGGTAATTTGTAAATGGTGGATCAAGGAAGATTTTAAATATGCTGATCTTTACAATTAACAGAACACATTTCATCAATAAAACAGGAGACCCATTTCTACTCTACAGCCTGAAATTTCTAGTAACTAAACTAGAAAAATGTGTTAATTTATATTACTTATCACCAGCAATGTTTTAATTATTTTCATAATTTTTTGAATTTAATTTTCAAATTTCAATGACACTATATGTAATTTTTACATGTTTTGATGGGAGCATTAGATGATAAGTAAGTTTGTATCACCTGCTTTCTTCCACATTATTAATGAGTATTAATCAACTAACTAACGAGTGTTATTATCAGATAAGGTGTTCAGGATGTTGCTAAGGATGACGAGCAACTGATTTTGCATTTTTTTTTTAGAGGCAGAATTGAACAATTCTTTAAAATGTCATTTGTATAATGAAGAGAATGCTTAACAATAATAAAAATAATACAATGTTTTTTTTCATTTTCAATAACAAACCTTAAAGATGGCAGGAACGGTGAAGGGGGAATTGGACTGGGAGGTAAAGCGACTCAGAGGCACCGACTGTTCCAGCAGAACCACCTCAAACATGACACCAGGAAACGCCTCCTGTAAAGAGATACAGTTGTTGAATAAGCTTTTATATGGATACTGTAGTCATTTTTTATGTCAGCTTGCATATAGACTCCAGTCATGTTGCAAGATATAAATATATAACCTTTGACCTTTCTATCATTCTCAACATTTAAAGTTTAAAATGATTTAAATATGTACTGTTTGTTTTGAGCTAATAAAGTTGAATAACGATATTCTATATTTGAATTATTTATTTTTTAAAGTAAGTTTTTAGCTTTTGATTGAAAATTAGAAAAAGAACATATTTTCCTTGTAAATAAGAGATGCAAAATATTGATTTTAATTACATGAATTCTGTTTCAATTATAACTAACAATATAATACCATAACAACAAATATGTTTATAGATATTTTGCTATTTATTGTACTAAACAGAATTCACACAAGGCAGTAGGCATTGAAAAGATGAGGACAGTTAGTTAATAATAAATAATTACTGTAATAAATTAATCATTATTTTACTAGAGTGGAAAACAAAAACAAATGTAAAATTCAATAGAAAACAAATATTAGGAAGTTGCAATAAAAATAATACATTATGAAAAAATTTAAATGATAGATAAAAAAGGGAAAATGCATTAAAATTAATATATATATATATATATATACAT